TATATATATGAAGGAATATGTGCAGATGAATGAACCGTACTTAATCCAATGAATCAGAGAACCAAAGTTTCCAGGAACCCGCCGGAAGCCAAAAATTGGCGGAGTCAGGATTTGAACTCTGGGCCTCCCAATGTCCGGTCGGGTGTGCTAACCACTACAACACTCCACCGGGGTCCATATCACAAGAGCGAATGACATTTTAGCGAACGGCGACATTTGAGCGAATGGTCGTTTTAGCGAATAACGGGGGGCGCGCGTTAACCCATCCGTCGCGCTGCGCTTTACGCCGCTTCGCGGCGACAGTCTACGGCAACTCATTACAAAAATATGAACTCACTTGGCCCACCCGAAAACGCCGCTTCGCGGCGTCCGACTATTCGCTAAAGTGTCGTTCGATGAAACGTGGGCGTTCGCTAAAACGTCATTCGATCAAGTGAGTGCCTCCCCACTCCACCTTGGCTTTCTGGCGTTTCCTACCTGTCTTATTAATGCACAAGAAACGAAATGTATCCAATCGGAGGTGTTCTGGAAACACACCGCCGCCGCGTGGAACGCGGTACGACGCTTAGTGTCACGTGGTACGTGCTCGTTTGTGCTCAAGAAATCCTCCCACTGTTTGTCTCGCCCCGTGTACATGTAGTATTCTTTGTTTTATGAGCTTTAGAGACACGGTATCATCATCATCTGCGAGAATCAAGAGCCACGTTATTGAGTATACAACACGGGCACTTCACACCATCGTGTGAAGCTCATAAAACAAAGAATACTACATGTACACGGGGCGAGACAAACAGTGGGAAGATTTCTGGAGCACAAACGAGCACGTACCACGTGACACTAAGCGTCGTACCGCGTTCCACGCGGCGGCGTGTGTTTCCAGAACACCTCCGATTGGATACATTTCGTTTCTTGTGCATTAATAAGACAGGTAGGAAACGCCAGAAAGCCAAGGTGGAGTGGGTGTGTAGAGGTTAGCACACCCGACCGGACATTGGGAGGCCCAGAGTTCAAATCCTGGCTCCGCCAATTTTTGGGCTTTCGGCGGGTTCCTGGAAACTTTGATTCTCTGATTCATTGGATTAAGTACGGTTCATTCATCTGCACATATTCGTTCATATCCTCCTCGGAGACCACGTACGATGGTGTGAAGTGCCCGTGTTGTATATATATATATATATATATATATATATATAGACGCTTTGCACACGCGCCAGATTGAGCCGCCATAGCTGACCTTCTCCTGTTTTACCGAGATGCCGAGCCACCGAAGCGGGCGTTTATGAGCCTCCAAAGAGGTCTATGATGGGGAAAAGGACGCAGTAGCACCTAAAGTCGCAATAACCTGTTCTGCTGTGGTAATGATGACGTGAAGCGAACGGAATAAGAGGAAACAAAAACTGAAGGTCGCTTATGGCGGCGCCCATGCACAGCTGCTGCAAAGCGTATATATATATATATATATATATAGGAAATGTGACTCATGCCATTGTGGCACCTGCTTCCCCCCCCCCCCCCCCCCCTGGCCCTACTCCCTTAGGTTTTTGACATTTTGCAACGGAGTCCCCGCGTAGCAACAACTTCTCCTGGCAAGCCGTCACCAACGAGTCAACCAAAGAGCAACGCGAGGCACGGATCTTCACGCCGGATGCCTTAAGCTGCCGGCGTGGCTCTTTAAACGCGGGACGGCGTAGCCCCTCAGCCCGTCAGCCCCGGCCCGAACCTTCACCGCGGCCGAGAGTGCCGAGAGTGCGCGGCGCGGAGTCGTCAACGTGGCTCCTCTTCCTTTCTCACCGCGAAGTCTGGCCGCCGCCAGCACTCACGGGGAAGCCGGCAAATTGCGCGTGACAATACGGATGAGCCCGGGGCTCAGCGCTGACAGGACTCGGGGCGCGGGTGGAGGGGAGAACGTCGGGAAGCAAGCAGAGGCTCGGCGACCTCTTCGGTGCCGCGCGTCGCATGACGCATGACGCGGCTTCTAGAAGCCGCAACTGCTGCTGTTGCTGCTGGGGGACGGGAGTCAGCGCGGCCGCCCCTTGCAAAAACAGAACGGCGCGTGTTTGTGCACTTTCCGAGGGGAGTCTGACGGATACGGCGAGAGAAAATGCGAAATGTCGCGGAATTTTCGCTCGCCAATTTTTGGTGTTTTTGTTTTGACTATGCTGGGGTCACAGGGTGCCAATTGAGACCCTGCGTATCCTGTTCCATCTGTTTTTTTTTTTTTTTCCTTTTTCTTTTGCTTAGTTTTATGTTTTGAAAATGTCATACCTCCAGTTTTCCGCAGGTAAAGCCTTCGACAAACTTGTCGAATGTCGTCTGTCAATACCTCGTCGTCTGTCAATACCTTGTCGTCGTCTGTCAATACCTCCGTTTCGGGTTCTTCACTAAAATGTTTGATATACGCCAGCTCACTTGCGCCCTTACGTTCTGCTCAAGCCCCATCACTACGTTCTTAACGAAGCAGCTCTGAACATGGGACGAGGTCGGAAAAAAAGAAGTCATTAAAGAAAATTTAAATATACACAATGTGACACTGCACTATGGCGTAATGCAAGAAGGGACGCTCATATCTACTTCGCGAACTTTAGTTTTCACTGAAAACTTCGTTTTTCGGCCATTCGCCGATCTTCCTCCGTTTATCGCAGTGATTGGCTCTCTAAGGACAACGCAGACGAGCGGGCAATCTTTTTTTTTTTTATGTAG